TTCCCCTGGCCTTGGTCTCCCAGCAGCGCCTACCCTGATGCCCTGCCTGTGCTCTGGGCTGCAGCCTGCCTGATGCTTAGACAACACAGCAGTCCAGTCGTGCTGCTCCTCGCTCAAAAGCCAGCTCTGCACCTCTTTCCACCTGAAACGTGGGAAGGCCAAGAATGTCTGCCGTGTGACGCAGCTCCCCCAGCTGTGTCTCCTGTCATCCTAGCCTGATGCTCTCCCATCTTCCAAGTTCTCACCACCATTTACCTTTGATCAAAATTCACACATAGTTGCCGGCCCTCTTGGTAAGCGCCCCTGGCGTGAGCCCAGAGAAGAACCAGTCAGATGTTCCTGTGAGCCTCCCGGCACATGCACTGAGAATCAAACATGTTCTCCTCTCACGTACCCCCCACCCTGTCAGCTGCTGGGGACAGAGGTCTCAGCGCCTCTTGGGAGGATGACCATATGCAACATAGTAAATAAGGCAGTTTTCCTTGGATGTTCTGTATGAAGACAAAGGTCATTTTCACTGTTATGTTTTGTAATGATTGTTTTGCTCTATTCAATATTCTCCTTTCTATTGATTTCATAATGTTCTGTTACTGGTTTGATTTTACTATACCTAATTGACTGGACAACTATTGTGAAGATAATGAGATACACCACAGTACCTATTACTGCCATTCCAGGATCCTGCTGTGAAGTTCTGTACCAATGTCACTGCATTGTCTCCATTGGCCATGTTCTGTCTTGTTCTGTTGTGTTTTTACTACATTTAAAATAAAATTACAAATAAATAAATAATAAAAATAAAAATTTACACATAGAAACTCCCCCAAAATGCGAAACTGCAGAAGAGGGTGATGGATGTGTGCATGAAAATGATCAAACTATTTTATGTGCGTGTGGGAATCTGCCAGAATGAACCCTATTAATCTATATAACAAATACGTGCTAATTTTTATAAAAACATGAAAAAAATTTTTCTGCTCCTGCCTGTCACTTTGTCAAGATCTTCTCACTACATACTTATCAGCTGACTGATTTCAATTCCGTTTCATCTTCTCTCCGTGACCTTCCCTTACCAGTGAGTCTAAAGTGACACCAATTCTCTCCCCTGCTCCTGACCCTGTCTCGGTTTTCTTCACAGTTCACTCCTGTTTCCTATGGTGTAAACCTATTTGCTGTTTGGTTTTCTACCTCTTGTCTCTAGTACTAAAAATGTAAACTGAAATGTAAGGATGAGAGTGTGGACTTTGGTTTTATTCTCTGAGTCAATCTACTGTGCCTACGAAGTTGCCTAGCACGTAGTAGGTGTGCATGGACTATATTAAATGAAGGCATGTAAGTTGAGAGTTGTGTTGGGCTGTTTAGCATGCCCATAATGAGGAGCTAGAATTATAAAGATAAAAGGTTTATTTGGCTTGCAATTTGGGAACTTCAAGGCTGTGGTCCCTGCCCTGGCTGGGTCCTATGAAAGCTTCCTGGAAGGCAAGGGACAGGAACAAGTGGGAAAGGGAGCAGTCACACATTGAGCCAAGAAGCAAAGAAGATGCAAGGTGCCCTTAACCTTCTGGTAGACAGAGCCCCTAACCCTGACCTCAGCGACACCGCCCCCCCATGTCTAGCTCCACACACAGGAAGCCAGAAGGGACACGGACCATTGAAATTATAGCAGAAGTATCTTTCAGATTTGGGGGAAGGTATGCCTTGCTTACAATAATAATTTTCAAAATATCAGCAGCATGTTCGGCTCATGAATCCATTGAGCCCACGTGGGGATGGGGAAGTAAATAATTCTACCCTGTGACAGCCTAGAAAAGGTCAGTTTGTGAGCCGTCATGCAGCCCACATCATGGGACACCACCTGCTTACAAAGCATGCTGCTGGGGTACTGAACACGTACATGCATGAGAAAGAAGCCACAGTGAGACTGACACCACAGGAAAAGCTCCGGACTTCCGCAGTTTAATGTCACAAACACCACCCCGTCTGTAGGAGACAGAATGCACAGGTGGGTCCTCTCCATGCTCTATTTGATAAACACATTGTCATGCCTACCTTAAGATGGTACATTTTTCCCAGTGAGTTTAAGTTTGTAGATCGTGGATTCCAGATCGTGGTTTAAATTGACTAGCATTTTTACAAAGTAAAAAACCAAGCCTTTCTCCATCTGTCTTCTTTCATTCTGATTTCATTCATGTCAGTCAGGGCTTTTGGCAACTCTAAGCATTTCCTGTGCTCCTAGTACCTTGCCTAAAATATTCACTCCAAGATCTAGAGGTTGACTTGTTTTCTAAATTGGTGGCTGCTTGGGCTTCATCTTTGCTGTCCCACAAACTCGCTTGCCTGTGTTCAGAGGAAGATTTATCAGAGATTGTTGTCGAACTAATAAACCATCTGAGCTTCTGCTGGGTCTGTTCTCATTCTGGAAAGAGTTTGTGTGAGCCACAGCTGCCGACAGGGTCCTAGCTCCCCTGGAAGCCGCCCCCCCATATCCCCCTGCTGCCACAGGGCAGACTGGGGTGCAGGAGGGAGCTGCTAGCCACTAACTTAAAATTTTTGAACTTTGATTTTTAAAATGTGTTCTAAAGATGAAGATCATGGTTGCAGACTTTAATTCCTTTGGACTTCCAACTTATTTTGATTTGAGCATGAAAAAAGGGTTAACTTTTATAGTTTTGTTTTCTCCCTAGGGAATTTTCAGTGGGAATGAAACGTATTCAAATGTAGGGCATTTCTGCATTGTTGGGATTTCATATTTGGGATGCGTCTACCTACTAAATTATCAAATACTTAACATGTCATTCAATTTCACTGCACACTCTTGTAGGTCATGTTAGATTATATAACAGACCTAATTAAGATGGTAGAAAGAATGAGGACCCATAGGCCTGCATATCGAAGGGTCTCAGAGTTGATTTGATCAATGGGCGTTGTTTATCCATTTTGCAAGCTCTTGTGAATAAAATCTAAATTATGCTTCACTGAGAAGCTGTAAAGGAGTGACTGGCATTATGAGAATGACCTTTACAGGAACCACCTACGTCAGTGTTCCTTTTCTGTTGTGAAATTCCTGAAACAAGTTACTCAGGAAGAGAGGGGGCTTACTTAGCTCACAATGTTGGAAGCTGAAAGTGCATGGGGTACAGAGACTCTACACCAAGGGCCACACCTGTGTGCATTGCTTCACGGCATGGATAACAATGATCAGTGTGCATCCAGAGGCAAGGAACTGATCATGTCTCAAACCAGGAGCAGAGAGGAACCAGGGTCCCTCTATCCCTTTGGAAGACACACTCTCAAAAGTGGATGGGATTCCAACTACACTGCAGCTCAGATTTTGGCTCAAACCTGTATCTTCACCACCAACAAATGGCTGTGTACAATGGTATGAAACCGTAAAGAGCTAGAGATTGACGATGGTGGGGGAGGGTGTCCTTTTAAATCCTTCATGCTATCTTCATGGTCAGTGGAATAGTAATCGGGTCTCATTTTATCCCTCCCTCATTCCTTTTATACGACATGCATTATCTAGTTCTGGAGAATTCTGAAGGAGGAATGTATGCCCCTGCCTCATCATGGAGCTACAAGAAGAAAGCTTGCATTCTGCTCTGCTCATCCATCCTGAAAATTTTATAGGGCAACTTCCACAGAGTGGAGCTGGTATCCTGCATGAATGGGTGCAGTATCTGTTTCTGGGGTTTAATATCAGTATCTACCCTTGTCCACCGTGATACCTCGGTTTGCAGATGTAATTCATTCCATGATTCTGGGAAAGATGTTTGTGTTCATGTAGGGAAGATAGCCATGGTTGTGTTCATCACCTCATGTGTATAAATGGGAATTCACAAATGGGAGCAAAATTTTGCCAGATGCTTCTGTTAGCAAACTGAATTGTTCATGAACAGAAGCATTCGTGGGCAAGGCATTACTTTATATGGCATATTCTCCAGTATTAACTTTAATTGTGATAGGGTGATCTGTCATCTGGTTTCTTTTTTCTTTTAAAAAATGGCCTGAATTTAAATGAAAAAAAAATGTAATTAAGTATTAATTCTGAAATACTAAGGCTATGGTATTTTGTTTCTTGGCTAACAAAAAGTCAGGGCTATTTGTCTTTAAAATATCTCCCTGAGTACAATATAAAAGAAAAATATCACCATATAACTGTAATAACCTAAAAATATATTTTACCGAGGAAATACAGAATTTCTTACTTTGAGAGAATGGGTAACTAGGAAAACACTGATTAGAATGCTGTGGGAATTATTTCAGCAGTGCTCCAGGCGTCTTTATCTCTATCTCCAGCCATGGCACTCTTCCAGCTTTATTAAGCTGCCACAGCCACACTTAATCCATTCCACTGTGTCACAGAATGTTTATTTTCTACGTTACCAGGCCTGAGCATCTCTAACACAATACGGGCTTTCACAGCTGGCCTAGGTGTCATAACTGATGAGTCCTGCTGTCAAACACTGTGACCTCTAAATTCAGAAGGAAAAAAAAACCTGCTTTCCAGGAAGTAGTTTTGAGTTCATCAGATCCTTAAGTCAGTCTATCATCATCCATGGATAAAGACATCTTGCTGCTTCTTCCTGCTGTGTGGAAATGAAACAGCACCCGAAACCAGCCGGCACCTCTGAGCTGGAAAACTTCAGCCTTGAGGAAAAGTCAGGGGACTCTGTTGCTGGTTTTAAAGTATTCTGAAGATGTTTAAGAAGAGCTCTTGTTCCAAGAAGCTCCAATTGCCAAAGGAAGAATAAATAAGTGGAAATCACGGGATGGAATATGTTTATTGCATTAGAAAGTAACTCTCCAATGATTACAGCAGTCTTTCCACGAAACGAACTGCCGCAGTCATAGTAAGACACTTTGTGTCACGTCATAGTGAGAGGTCATTTGAAGGATTCATTCTCAGGCCGAAAAAATCAAACTAAATCCTGTTGAACTTGGAGAATTCATGACCCAGTGGGTATTTCCCCCATAAACAAAACACAAGCAAATTTGAATTCAATTTGTGGGAGAAGAAACATTTAATATATTTTATCTTATTATACATTTCCCCTAAATTACAAAGTCAACAGCTGCAAATATATTCTGCTACAAAGCTTTCTGTAAGAAATATCTCTATAAGAAAATACATCTCATAACATTTCCTCTAAATAAATTACTTCAAATAATAATTTTTGAAAGGGTAAACATAAGGGAAATAATACAAGACCCAGACTGTAAGGGCAGTGGCTGTTTAAGAGATGGTTGGTGGAAATGTTTCTGTTTTATGTCACCACGCTTGTACAACCTGCTGGCACCACTTTGGACTCTTGTGCTGAGTCGCATATAATTTTTGTTTCTGCATGCATATGAGAAAAACATAAATCTTCATCATCCTAGTAAATGTGTATGGGGAGCTAGAATTCTCCATTACAGCCTCTGATTCGTTTTCTATTAGGAGAACCTGACTTGGAGGCTGCAAGAGGAATGGCTATAGCAAACTTCAGGGGTGACTTTTATCCATGAAAGTTTAAAGTTAGAACTATAAAATAAACTTTTTGTTCTCATATGCTCTAGGCATAAGATTTAGAACTGAGTTAAATAAAATAATAAAATGTTTTCAAAAGAATTTAGAAGCTGTGGTTTCTATGGATTACTGATATGTACATTTTACAAATTATTAGACTTTTTAACCTCAGTAGCTACAGGAAGCAGAAACCATATCTTTGCAATGAAATGGCTAAAGCAGGAGAGCTTGGTGAAGACACCTCACATGGTACCAGGGGTCAGTTAGAAGCTTGAGGAGGACGATGAATCTCACCGTGCTGCCTACCTTGGGGGCCACTATATGAGACCACCTCATGTTGAGAAGGATTTTAGGATCTCAAAAATATTTTGAGCATAGGAAAGCCAAGTGACCTTCCATTGAACTCATCTGCATGTAAATATTATGATAGCAAATCCCACAGAGAAGTCCCCTTAGGTTGTACAGCTTCTGGTTTCAAAAGTGAAAAGTCAGCATGTGTGTCACACATATGATTCCTGTGTGGCCAAACCGTGGATACCTGGACAGTTTCTCCATGTCCTTGGCTGTACTTTGGGACAGGAAAGATACCACTCTAATCTCGGTTATCAGCCTCACCCTGTCCTACTGTAGAGGGTGAACAAAAAAGTATTTATGCCCAATCCTATCAAAATATAGGGTAAGTTAAAGCTTTAAAAAACAATGACATCTCCATCAGCTTTGCTTCCCACATATTTTACAAAGCTTTCAATTTTTTTTACTCTGTAAGGTTCCTGTTCTGTGCATATATTGATTGCACTGGTCACAATTAATGCGTATAGTTTGAAAAACAAGTGTATTCAGGGTGGGGATCTCATATAAGCAAGAGAAATGGGATGTCATTGCTTCAGAATCAAGGAATCCTGAAAAAGGATTGCATTGCTTTATTTATTATAGGTGAAATTAGTTTTTAAAAGTGTAAATAAACAGTTTGAGGGGAAATCAGCTTGTTACTTTTCTGAAGTCCTAGACTGTTTTTTTTTTTTTTTTCTTAACTGCTAAGGTCATTAGTTGAGCTGTTAAAGGTAACCAACTTTAAGGTGATTCTGTGTTGCAAATTAACTATACTCTATGTTTTTGTCTCCTGTTGATCAACTCTGTTCATGTCTTAGAGCTTTTTGTAGGTCAGGGTACACTGGGAGTATTTTGTTAAGCTGTTAGCTGCATGGATATATGGCTTTTAGGTTAATGTTATGGGCAATCACCAACCTGAAGGCCTCTCTCCTCCAGCACAGCCTAAACCTGAACTGATGGTGCTCATCAGTGATTCCATGGTGTGCTTCTTTTTAATAACAGCATTTTCACAAATGTTTACATTATTTACATAAACTAGTGGCATAATGGAAAACTTTGGCTGCTCTGCGATTGTCACCCACCCTAATTCATTTAGTTCTTCATTCTCCTCTCTTTCTCTGCTCTATATTTTTATCGCATTCAACATTTTAGACATTCTCCTGCATTCCAAGCCCTGATTTCCACATGCCATAATGCATTAAATACACAGATTCACAGTCTGCGGTGCTGCTTTTACCCTGGTGGGGGTCAGATCTTCTGACACACATGCAGTCTGGCTTTGGAAGAGTAGGTGGCATCTTTCCATACTTTGCAAGACAGGCCCTTAGCACAGTCACACCGCTGGAAAATTTCTAGCCCGTGAGAGCCCTTCTTGCGCTGTTTTGTGCAGACCTCCCCCTGGTGGAGCACTGGTTTGCAGATTTTTGTCCAGAAGTGACGGGCACAGCAAAACCCTTCAATGCAGTCTGAGGATCGCAGACAGGGGTCTCCTTCATGCCCTGGGGAACCACAGAATTAAAAGACACCACCATAAATTTGTACCTAGCAGCAAGAAGCACATGTAAATAGAATGTCTGGGACTTATGTCTTCAGTCATGTAAATCCATCATCTGGTTCCATTATTTGCAATCTGAATATCAAGTATAAAGAATAACCACACCTGTGCTCCTTTCCTTCACTGTGTCATGACCTACTTTTAGATAATTCCCTGATCATTAATTTCTACATACTAGATGATGAAAAAAAAAGAAAAATACTTATTTTATTACTTCTTTGTAATCTAAACAAATCTGTGATTCAAGAATAAGGCTGAAATATCTAAGGGCTCCTATGACCATATATCAGTGGGAGCCCAATTAAGAAAACAGAACCTAGGTGTTCAAAACAGTTTACTTAATACAAAGAATTGGTCACACTGGTAATGATGGTGAAAAGCTATGATAACTAGTGCTTCCTTGGAAACACAAGCAAGAATGGAATCTCAGAAGGAGCCAAAGCTTTGAGGAGACCCAGCCCTGTCCAAAACACTACCTAGAATAAATGTATTGGCTATTCTTACAAAATGCTCAGAAGATTCAGCTTCCCAAGAGCTGTGAGATAGAGCAGAGTAGAAAAAGAACAAGCAGCCTATCTAAGGCTGGATAAGTTCAAAAGCAACCAAGAACTCATAAGTAGGTGGAAAAATATACTGTATCCAGAAATAATATTAAGACAGCAAGTGGCCCCTGCCATAAAATGGCTGAGCTGACATGGAATCTGACTACACAGGAGTTGCCAAACTTCTCTGTTAAGTGACAGATAGTAAACAGGTTAGGATTTTGAGCCACAGACAAGGCCTAAATGAATGGGCAATTCTGGGTTCCCCCCAAAACACTGACTTATCAAGAACAGGCAGCAGGTAGATGGGGCTACAGGGCTAAGTGTGTCTACTCCTGATCTGAAGGTTAACTATCAGCCCAGATGTAGTCTACTGTGTGATCTGGACACTCTCACATTCAATAGAAGATGTCTATTTTTCAACAGAAAGTTGCACATATAATTAGAAATGATTAGTAAAGTTTGAATTTCACCATAAAAACGAGGTGTGTTGAAATACAGATATTCATATAACACCAAATGAGTTTGTTAGAACATAAATCGGAGATATGGAAATGAATTTCAGGCCTCAAGGAACATATAAAACGAGGTCACTTAGGAAGAACTGTTTGTCAGAATCTTCAGCATTGAAGTAAGGTTCTCATCGATGGACTTCCCAGAGCCTTCCGTTCATTCCTGTTTATTATAAATTTCCAAGAGTGGAGAGATGCATTAATGCAAAACTCTTTTGAATACTAGATACTCTTATTCATAGAACATCTTCAAAGAGAAGAACTCTACAAAAGGCAGTTGGGGAAAGGCCTCCTTACATTTGGGCTAGGGATTTAGCTCTGTGGCATAAGTACCTGCCTGGCAAGCACAAGGTTGTGAGTTCAGTCCCCAGAATGAAGAAGAAGGAGGAGAAGGAGGAGAAGAAGGAGAAGGAGGAGAAGGAAGATAAGAAGAAGGAGGACAAGATGAAGACGAAGAAGACGAAGAAGTAGTTGTGCCATACTTTTGGATTTTTACTAAGTTTCAAAAGTTTCCTGCTTTGCAAATTTACTATTAGTAGCTAAGCTTCTGAAACATTTCAGTACAAGAAAGAGAATCGCATGGCCCTACATAATCCCATGATAAACCAATTATTTTTGTAGATTAGTTATTAAACAATTAGACGTTTACTCATGATTAAGTAAAATAAAATTTTTGAATCTTCAAAGCTTAATAATTTGGCCATGTGCCAACAAAGATTTTTCTCATTTGCTTTTCAGAGTACTTTACTCCTAGATAGATACAGGACGGATGCATTTGTATCAATATGTTCTAAATTTCACATCAAACACAAAAACTTTTGAGAAATGGGCATGGTTTAATCCAGGTAGTATAATTCTTATATATTTTATGACAATGTAAGAGCTAGCATTTTCAAAATTAAGAATTAGTAAGCTCATTACATTTTGCCATTAAAGTTCTTTCCTTATATTTTTTTCTAAACCGATGGAAATTAATCAGCAGTATCTGCATTTTTCTTTTCCATATTTATAAAATGAGAAAAGTCAAACATATAAGTACCATAGTTGAGCACAGTAGCTTACCTTTTATATGTGACATCTTGGTGTGTGGTCTTCCTAGGTTCTGCCATCCCAGGTCATGATCTGAGTAGTGACCGTGGTTTCGGTCTCTATGCCGAGTGCCATCCAGGGCCGGGATGTGTGGGGTTAGGATGCTCTCAGTGACTGGGATACAGATGCCTGTTGATAGTGATATAAATAGTTAGAATAGTTAGATCAGTCCTGTAGGTCATGGTACTTATTCTGGTGTGCTCTGAGAACAAAATTATCTGTCTATGTATCTGCCTGCAATTCCTCTACCCATTCATTCACTGATTTATGGAGACTGAGTATAGGACACTTTGGCTCTGAGACCAGGCTTCCTTAATCTGAATTTTGTCTCTTTATGACCATATGACCTTGATCAAAATACAGACACAGACATAAATAATTTCCATGAGTTATTGTAAGTGTGCATGTGATAGGTAAGCTAGATTTTCAACTTGACTGGCTTTAGAGTCACCTAGAGGATTAGTGAGGTACACTGAGGGCATGTCTGCATGGGTCATGGAGGTGTGACCCTGGGTACTCAATCCCTGGCCTCATCCTTTCAGGGTCTTCTCCTGTTTTGCTTCCCAGTCACCTTGCATATTTTTTCCACCACATCATCTGCCATGATGTTTCAGCCTTAGAGTCACCTGACCATGAACAGAATCCCCTGAAACCATGAACCAGTGTAAACCACTCCTCTTCAAATTTTGGATACCAAATATTTGGTCCCAGTAATGAGAAAGCTGACAAAGTAAGTATGTGAAACGCTCAGAAAAGTGACATCAAAATGGCTAATTAATACTAGCCTTTGTATTTTAAAATCATCTGACAGGACATTCATTGTAAGGATTCGAGATTTTGACCTTAGCCTACACTGCCATCTTTCCTTTGACCCCTACTGAAGGTGCACACAGTAAGCCAGTGGCCCGAGTTTAGAGCAGACATGCCTTTACATGAGCCTCTCTTGCTATGCTTGAGTAGATGTTTCTAATTACCTCTGCAATCCATGATTTCATCATGGTTTGTTTGTAAGTCTTCTTTTATTACTAATGCTGAACTGTATGTTTGTAAATCCCTTGGGTCGGGGTGAAGCCAGGATGAAGGACAGAGCTTGTGGTCTTTATTTGGAGGAACCAGTCATCCCGTCACCATATAAAGGTGCCATGGGACATCATAAAAACAGGAACTAAAGTACAAACTGCTATGAAACCAGGAGGAGGACTCAGAAATACACTGCTACGTTACAGCACGTTCCTTTCTTTCATTCACTTTCATGTAGTTGCTAATGTTTCCAGTAGAGTAAAACATCTAGCTATTTTATACAATATTTTGACCTTGCCATATCTGAGATCAGTGTACAGCATTGACTATCTAAAGTAGAAAAGGCCCAGTGAGATGAAGATTTGGGAGGGAATCAGCATGATTTTACGTGACCTAAATCATAACCCAATCCCTCTGCATCCTAAAGGATGCTTTCTATTTCCAGAGTCTAAGTAAGAAGAGTCAGACCATTTCACAAGACACCTGTCTTTCCAAAGAGAGAGGCTGGGAACACTTAATGAGTGTTGGTACCATTATTGCAGCGGGTTCCAGGGCAGCACATGCCGTCTCTATGGCAACGTTTCTTTTTCCTTCGACACCCCATGCAGGCTGATGGTCCTTGGTGAGGGTTGTGGCAGTATCTCCCCACTTCACATTCCTTATCGCTGCTGCAGGGGTAGGCCTGGCATGAAGGTGAGACAGCACAAAGAGAAAAGATGAGACCCTGGTACACCTAAGAGGCAAGGCTGTATCAAGTCAGGATAGAAACCGAGCAGCCATCCCTGGAAAGAAATATGCCGCTGTAACAATGTTCTGGACACAGAGCCTCCATGATGACACTTCCTTGGCTGAGGAATTTGTGAGTATTGGTTGTTCATGGTGACAGAGATGAAGGTGATGCTCTTCATACAGTTTCACTGGCCCAACTTGGAGTTAGGATTTAAGTTTTTTTCATTAGCGGAACCCTTCAGGGGGCTCAGTGACAGTTGTAGGTATTGCATTGCAACTAATAAAAGTGCAAATAAAAAGTCACCCTAGCTGTCCTAGTCCTCTTTGCTAATAGAGGACGGGGGAAAGTGAATTGAAAAATACAAAGGACTGTTTACGTGCTGCTCAATTACGGAACAGGTATTTAAAGAGCAGCGGCACACAGCTCGTGGTGATAAAAAGCATAGAGGCAAAACGCTTCAGCATCCCTTCAGGCAATGAGCATAAATAAGCCAAGGAGCATCATCTTCATCCCTGCTGCTTCTGAAAGCATCCAGAGATGTATCAGCACAGAGGTAGTGGAAACACACTTTGCCGCACAAGAGCCCCACCCTCCACACCTTGGGCTCCCGCACAAAAGCCTGTTCTTACGCAGAGGGCTTCTTCAGCAGTGTCAGATGTTACATTGAAAATAAAAATGTACATTCTTGTCAGGTTCTGCTTGCTTCTTCAAAGTCCTTGGGACGTGCACAAGGTCCCTTTTTCCAGAGGACTGAGATGTTGTGCCCCACATCCAACTTTCTCAGTCACTCCCCCAGGGACACTCATTCCTGAACTTTTATTGTTGTTAACTTTTTTCTGATTTTCAGAGAAATGGATTACTTCTATTTGAAAAATACAAAATATGTTTTTGAAAGCTCTGTATTTGTTTTAAGCAAGCATGAATGATATGATCTTAAAACTATGAGTGTAAGTGCCGGGACTCTCGCCTAACTGGTGTAACAGGTGTTTTCATTTGGAATTAGGTTTGCTGTTGTAAGTCTGTTTGAATTGTTTATTCCTCCCCCTTTGCTTCTCTCGCTCTCTTTCTGTTTCTCCCCCTTCCTGTCCTGGGCTTCTGTGTGCACCTACTGAGCTGCAAGTGTTTCTCATTCCTGTCTGGTTGTCTTCAGTTAGAAAGAGGAAATACAGATGAGGCTTACGCATGAGTCTGAGGGAAACAATACCTTTTAGCATCATCACAATGACTTCTTTGCCCTAAGAGAACCACGTAGGAAATCCACTGACTTCAAACTCAAAGTGCTCTTAGAGGCTTGCGCAGTGGCGATGTTTAATGCCTACACTATAATAATGATAGTTGGAGCTAGATCAAGCTGAAAGATGAATTTAGTCATTACCCACTTTGCAGTTCTATCATTAGACTTTAGAGAATCTGGATGGAGTTGAATTCAGAGCACTAGGCCATTTTTCAAGAGCCCAACTGCTGCAAACAAAACAAATGTCACTTCCTGCCTTACCCCTCTCTCCCCAGGCACTTCAGCCCATTAATTTTAATTGAAGCACAATTCACATGTTTCTGATTCATTTACATTCATTTCATCAAATTGTGTTGCAAGAAACATTTGATGTCTTACAAGTTTCTTTCCTTCCTCAAAAATAGGATGTTTTCTTTCAGCGGAAATAAACACGTGCCCCCAGAACATCATGTGCTTATTTATCACTCCCCCAACAAATCTTCAGATGATTCTGAATATAGAACAATGACTTGGTTCCCTTCCAAAAAAAATTGTCTAAGTGGCAGAGTGCTAAAACTAGCAATTTATTTATGAGGAAAATGGTCAAAGGGCCATCAGGAAATAGGAAATATTGAAATGGCAAATAATTGATGCACAAGACATTCGGAAAAACTGTCTTATATCTGAATGGTATCATAATAAAATGCTTCCAGTTTTTAAGACACCAGCTCATTTTTTCTAAGACAGAAACTATATGAAAATCTTCCAAGTATTTGTGATTAGCTTGAAGTAGAAATGACACCAGTAAAGAAAATATTTAGGTTTTTATAATATAAAAGTTTATGCATATTGTGAACTTGGTACTCCAAATAGAATCTGAGAACATAAATCTTAGAAAAAAAAATTCTATGGAAATTTGAAAAATTCAAATGCAAAGTTGTATTACATAGCTTCTAGTACATTTACAAAACTCCTGGCTCCCATAAACACTCTTTATATATGAATAAAATGAACAAAGGATGAAATAAATCGGTTGAAGCAAGGGAAGTAAGTGATACTTGGACGCATGCCTTGCTTTACGAAATCAGTGTCCCTGGAACGGATCTCCTCAGTCCTAAGTCTTTTCTTGAAATAATCGTTAGCAACAAAACACATGGTGCCTGAGAAACACCCGTGAGTAAGTCTGACTCGTGAGTAACAGAGTAACAGCAGCGCGTGTCCAGCACTGGTGACCTACTCTTTAGTGAAGAGTCAAGGCCTTTTCAGCTCGAATATGAGTGCTCTGCAGCTTGCCTTTTTCTCCCTTACATTTAAAATGTCTGGGAATGGTGTCAGGGTAGGGCAGAGGAGGAGAGGAAAGGAGAGGAGAGGAAAGGAGAGGAGAGGAGAGGAGGGGAAGGGAGGGGAGGGGAGAAGAGGGGAGGGGAGGGGAGGAGAGGGGAAGGGAGGAGAGGGGAGGGGAGGGGAGGAGAGGGGAAGGGAGGGGATGGGGAGCCAGAGAGGCAGGAACTTGGCTGACAGTAATGATGTAATGGGGAGGACCCTGGGAAGCGAAGGCTGTAGCAATGAACGGACTACTAGAGGGAAATATGTACATTCATAAAATTTCCATTCAGAGATTTTCACATGGAAAATATTTATGTTCCATTTACTTTGGCTTCCAAAGGCTATTATTTAGTCCCATTTGATGATGGTTTTGTGGCAAATGAAAAAAAGAGTTTAAGTACATTAGTTTCTTTCCACTTAAAACCAGTACTTCTCTTATCTGGTACTTGTTTTCAAAGTGAATAAAAAGGCTTATTTTTTAACCTTGTTATGGGAATTATTAGTACTGACTTTAATGACTACTCATTCACTTGGATGTGGGGTGAATAGAATAACTCTTGTGTTTTTGTCTGATGGCCAGTGATAGTTTATGGAAAAGTCTTTTTTAAAAGTGAAATAATTAAAGTGAGATATTTGATGCTTGTTGTCTACAACAGGACCCCAAGTTCAGTTTTGTGAGCATGCAGGGAAACTTAGCTCCCCCGGAATCACTCATTGTCCAGCCTCAGTCTTAATTCAGAAAAAAATTGATTGAGGCCTCTCATGGTGGTGGGTGATTGGTCACACGTTGAGAATGTACGAGAGCTATCCACGATCACATCAATTAAAAAAATGTTTACCCATTCCCATTTCAATACTAAAAATAGAGTGATTGTAACAAATGGTAACGCTAGTAATTTTGACAACCACAATATGAACCAAAATAAAATCTACCAGAAATTAGCATTTCTTTTTAGTAGAAAGGATTTCTTTTAAATCCACTTCCTCTGTGTTAGCTTGGGATCATCATTTAAACTTTTTACAACGATGGGAAGAGAGGCTAAGTGTTTGCGGAATTAAGTCCCCATGCTCAGTGGCAGAGAACTTGGGGACACTGACCCCGGCGCTGGCTTCAGGGCCTCCCCAAGAAGTGTGAAACCTGAAGGCATTTCCTTTTGAGGTTTTAATACACAAAGGCTAGGGGACAGAGGGGTGACCCTTGGGTTGCGTTTAGAGATGATAAAAATAAACTTGGCTGTGACGCTCTAATACCAACAGCACACCCCACTGCAGCTGTGGGGAAGACACAGTACTGGTGGGAGCAGCGACAAAGCTGTAAACATTTTCTCTTCTCTTTGCTTGACTTCAGTTTTATGCCCATTAAAATGCACAGCAAATCGGAGCTAAAGCAGAAGCCCATATTGTGCACATGAATAATGATAACTAAATAATCTTTCAACGGACAAAGTAAAAAGAAATGTACGCCCTCATCTTGTTTGAACTAAGTGAACCTTCTCTAATTATTCTCAAAACTGCAGGGAGAAAGAGCCTATTCATTCAAGGCTTATATCTTGGATTGAGTTTTTTCCTATTTTTCAGGAACTGCCCATCCTTTAGAATTTGCAAATACATCGGTGAAGTAATGGGACTGGTAAATAGTGACATGGGAAAAGTGTCTCAGGTCTTGGCCTCACTGAGCCCTGAACAGAGGCGGAACCTCGACTAAAACCTTAGCTCCCAGGGTTTCAGGAGTAACGGTGTGTTCCTGTTTAGTGACGGGGAGAAAGAGAAGAGAGAAACATTACACAGTATTCATGTGGGATGGCCACCCATCTGGATGCTTGCAAGATCGTCCTAGTTTTGTTGTTGTTGTTGTTGTAGGTCAGGACAATCCCCTGTGCCCGCAAGCACTGTTTGTAACCATTTCGGAAGTTTGCTGGAGCCAGGAAACCGTCATCAGCTGGGCAGGCAGAAGAAAGCCTGCAGGGGATGACCCAGCTGTGGGAATGAAAAACATTTGAATGGAGTGAGGGAGGTGACAGGGGAGGGCCGGGATGGGAACATATCTGGGGGCTCCATGAGACAACAGAAGGTTGGCAGTCGGATGTGAGAAGCCAGGTCAGAACGGCTTGCCCTAATCCTTAGAGAAGAGACTGATTTTCCTGGTGACAGAGCTCCACAGGGTAGATTTATACTTCCATGAATGTGCAAGGGACACCCCTCCTGAGGATGTCACTTTAATATTAGACACTAAAATCACAACTGCAGGCGGTGCAGGGACCCAGCTCTCAGGCTGGTTTGTGGAGTTGCAGGCTGGCTCAAAGGCTGTGCAGCCCGGCTTTCTCTTGTCTCCAGCTGGTCCTGGGCCTTCAGAGGTTACGCAGACAACTGCGTGGGTATTTCTTCAACATTCAAGAAATACCGACTCAGCTTG